TATATATATATATATATAATTATAATAATTCATTATTTAAATATTAAATCTTATAGGACCGTACATGTGAGAAAACCAATAAGAAACGTCTTTAACGGTCGAGCTGGATCTTAGGTGCTAATTATAATTCCGTGTGAATTTATGTATTATGTATGTAGTCTTTTAAACCGCGCGCCGAACTATTTTTCGATCTTGAAACGCCACTCTCTTACATTCCATGCGAGCGTCTTACCAGTGCGTCCTACCAAGGCGCATGGAATGTAAAAGATCCGGGTTCAACTCCCGGTCAAAAGGTAATATTTTTCGCAATATAAATTAATTATTTACAGATTTTTATTCATAGATTTTCATATGTCGTTCAACATTATTAAGATCCAAAATGCTATGAGCATCAAAATCTAGCATTAAATTGCTAGATAATTTAACTCGTGATATTATTGCGGTAGTTTCGTAGAGTGGCGTTTCAAGACCGAAAAATTGCTTGGCGCGCGGTTTAAAAGACTACATATGTAATATACAAATTCACACAGAATTATAAGCTAAGATCCAGCTCGATCGCTAAAGGTATTTTCTTATTGGTTGTATAATAATTCACTTCAAGATACTTCGAAGTATATATGAATTAAATAATTAAATTTCCAAACTATACAAACACATGTTTCTTCAACTAAATAAAATTTATTTGATATGTAAATGTTGATTATACTATAAATGCAGGGTACAGCGAGGCCTACAAAATATAGATGCATATGCAACGATTCTCAGTTTAACGAAGATCAGCTTGAGGAAATGACTTATTTTCTTTGCCATATGTATGCCCGTTGTACAAGATCAGTTAGCTATCCGGCACCAACTTATTATGCTCATTTAGCAGCTTTTCGCGGAAGAACCTTATTACAGGGGTAAGCAATTAATTACATATAATGAAAGATAATATTAATTAATTACAATATTGAATGTTAATTACGATTATGATTTATAAAACATTATTTTCATTTGCAGGGTCGAAAGCTTTAATGTTACTAATTTAGAAAATGAACAAAAAAAATTTATACTGAAGATGGGAGAGTCACCGATGTATTTTGTTTAAAGATAAATAATTATAATTTTAAGGATTTTTAAGGATCCCTTTATAATCGAAATATGTTCACAGTTAATTTTATTTTTTTCTCACAATACTTATAACTAAATTCTCTTTAATGTATAAATTAAGTAGGTATAGTTTCTATGATTAATTAACAATAATGTAATTCATAGTTTTTCGTATTTAAAAATATAATACAGGATTGCCACAATTCAGGGAAATGTGAGGGAATATTGAAAATGCGTCAGGGAAGTCAGGAAAAGTCAGGAATTTAGCACACTTATCAGGGAAATTCTAATATTTGTAGCTGTACACCGTTCGGCTTTACGCTTTGCCGTCATCTTTTTTGGCGATCTTTTTTTTTTGGAAGTTGATTCCTCAAAATAAAAACCTGCATGTATGTACCATTACTGGAAAGACCGAGAATGAATAATTCTGGATCAGGGAAAAGTCTCAAAATTTTGTCAGTAAATCTGGGAAATGTCAGGAAATTTTGCGATTTGTGGCAACCCTGAATGAACAATATAGCAGAAACTAGTAACTATCAAGAAAAAAAAATGATAAATTTTATATTATTATTAGTGCATGGATATATAAGTATCATATATATTGGGTGTCTGATAATTAATTGTAAAATTTTTGTATAGAGGTAGAATGGATTAAACTGAGAAGAAAAATCCTCTAATATTTTGCATTTTTTGTATTAGTTAACGAGTTATTAATTGATGAAAATAATCACATTCGCTCGGTCTACCGCTAAATGCAAGCATGCAACGAGATTAGAGCATCTATTATGGAAATGTTCAGTATGGATTCCGATCGGAATTATTCACTTATTCCCTAGATTTCTATTATGTTTTCTAGGGAAAACGAAATAATTCCAATTGGAATCCATTCCGAACATTTCCATAATAAATGCCAAGACCACTCAGCGGCAAAAAAAAAACGGAGAATAATCATAACAGAAATTTATCAACGCTATTTTCGACTATTGTCTAGCGACAACCATTACTGCTTATAAAGTTTATAAGAAAGCTTTTTATCTTGTTTTTAATATAAACGATGTGTTTATAATATAAACTAGTGGCGGCTAGCGACGACAAATGCGCGCTTTACTAGGCGGTTTTATTTCGTTACACGCTTGTATTTGGCGGTAAGTCGGGCGCATTTGATTATTTTCATCAATAATAACTCGTTTAATTGATGAAAATAATCACTAATGCGAAAAATGCAAAATGTTAGAGGATTTTTCTTATCAGTTTAATTCATTCTACCTCTATGCAAGAATTTTATTTTTCTTTTCAGTTTTTTCTTTTCAATTTAATTCATTCTGCCTTTTTGCGAGTTTTATAATTAATTATCAGAAATCTGTATAATAAAATATGTTATACAATATAATGTATATTAATATTATATATGCTGGATATTATACATATAAGTATCTTATTTGCTTCATAATTAAAAAATTGATTTTAATTATTAATTAACAGCGTTGACATGTAAGCTATGTAATTATATAGGCATTATAATATTTATATAACTTCCGTGATATTATTTTTCCATTTTATTGTCTATTTTATAATTATCAAATAATAATTTTCTGAATGATTAAATCTGTGTAAGTGTATGCATCTTTATAGTACTATAATGCTAAAAAATACTTTTCACACACACACACACACACACACACACACACACACACACACACACACGAAACAAGTATTTTTAGTACTATAAATATATATATACACACTTTTTTATGTTAATAAACATCAAATATAAAAAAAAAAAGAATTAAAGATTGCAATGAATTATAATAGAAATAGATAATATATGGATAATATATTATAACGAATGGTGATGGCATATATATTCATATGTGTGTACTACATGCTTTGTGTTCTTATATAAACTAAACAATTTTATGAAGTTTATCGATTGTAATTCATAAATTAATTCTAATTTTTAATTAATCAGGAAGTTATTTAGATGTTTCCATAAAATTATTGCGTATATTAAATATTGTAGGTGCGGTCCACTTGACGCTACAAATGCTTCGAAGCCTGGCTTTTCAATGACCAATCGGAAGAAAGAATTATTTTCATTGACCAATCAAATAATGCTTCAAAGCATTCGTAGCATCAAGTGGACCATAGCCAGTAATTATATAATATAATACTGATTGTCTGTGAACATCCCCGTACTACATTCAACTATAATTATCCAAATTTTTATGTATAATAAGAATATAGAATTACAAAATTATGTATATGTAAAACAAAAAAATAAAAAAAGGTTTAAAAACAAATAAGATAAAAAAAATTGGATTCATACGAGACATATTTTTATATGCGTGCGTGTGTAGGGCGCGTGAAAGCTACAAAAATTAAGCTAATGAATGCAAAAATCATGATCTATTGACGAGAATGCAAGTGTAGGTATAAACATTGCATAGTGTAGGTATAAACATTTTATTGAAAATCTAAGGAATTTACAAAGTTTTATATGCAGGATGTTTGAGAACTAATAAAAAATGTTGATCGCATAGGAGTAGAATGGACTAAACTGAGAAGCCCTCTACCATTTTACAATTTCCGCAATAGTTCACAAGATATTAATTTATAAAAATATCCAAATCTCTCCGTCCGGCCTACCGTTAGTGCAAGCGGGCGGCTGAATACGCGACCGCTCAGCGAGATGCGCCGCGCGCATTCGCCATCGCTAAGCACGCGTTGTTTATAACAAGTGGCAATGGACATTGTGGACATTGTCTAGCGACGCTTGCATTTAGTAGCTGGGCGAATTTGGATATTTTTATAAATATCTCGTTAAACTATTGCGAAAATTGTAAAATGGTAGAGGACTTTTCTTCTCAATTTAGTAGATTCTACCCCTATGCGACAAAATTTTTCATTACTTCTCAAACACCCTGTATAGTTTAAATTACTTAATATACAACATAAGATACATTGTATTTAATATCTTGATTATTCATACACAGGCCTTTTCGAGTTTTCAAATTTCGAGAATCGATACTTGTTTGAAGCAATTTTTTTAAATAATTATATCCATTGCTGCCTTATAAGATAAAATGTGCGACTCTACCATGATTCTGATACACATACAGAATAGCAATGCATGCAAGCACACATTATATTATCATGTATGTTACAAGACAGGTATGTACATCATGTTTTAACTATTTCACGTTTCTAAATAGGAGCGCACAATTTACAAGAAGAATGCATTCAAAGATACGGTTAACGCTAAAAAAATGCTTTAAAACGTTTTTTAATTGGTCAATTCGTAAAATTCTTTCTTCTGATTGGTCTATCAACGCGTTAAGTAATTTTTAACATCATTGCGACACTGTTTTGTAACTTCAAAAAATGTCAGTTCTCGAAAAAGTGCTAATACGGAAAATTAAAAAACGTATGAAAACAAAAATTAATGGTGCTAAGAAAGTAGAAAAAGCAAAAAGATACAAATATTTTCGTTTTTGAAGTTAGATCTTATGAAACATCTGACTAATAAAATTCGTATTTAAGAAAATTTAAAATTATGTAGCAAAACTAGTTATATATCTCAATATCAATCTGCTTTTGTTGTTTTTATAAATGTATCCTTATCATTATTTATTTTTAATAAAATATTTCTGTTATACAGGTATAATCAGATCAGAAGAAATAACTGAAATAAGTTAGCAAAACACAAAACATATATCCCTCCAAAAAGTCTGTATAAATTTTTCTAACTAAGGGATGAGTGTTCCATCTTCGGATAAACTATGTGATAATAAATTTACCTACTGGATAAACGAAAGAGTAAAAGAATAAGAACATATGATAAGAGAGTAAAACAGTCAATTGAAGTTTACCAAAAAATAGAAACAACCCAACCTTATTTTTATAATTTACTCTTTAAATTATTCTGAACATACAAGGTGTGAAGTTTTTTTTGGATGAAATTATAAATAACACTTCGCAGAATTAATTCTGTTGTATTTTCTGTTTTATTATATAATTATTAATAATGATCCTTATATCTTTTTTTTAGAAAAAATAAAATTATATATGTATACCCAAGGAAAATGAGTCTGAGGAGATATAGCTATAAGCAGTCCTCAGTTACTGAAAATTGTATGTACCTACTTTTGATATGATTAGGCTTGTAATAATTGAATGGTATTTGAGCACTTTCTAGTAACATGATTATATTCTTATTTAATACTTAGCACAGTTGTAGGTTTTAAAATGACAAATGATACTAGTTTCTTAATATTGAGTAAACATAACTGAAGGTTTTAAAGGATATTGCAAATATGATTGAGATATAAGCTATTCCTTTTCAAAGGAAGAAATTTGGTTGATGTTGCTGAAACTGGATCTGGCAAAACTCTAGCGTTTTTAATTTTTATTATTGAATTATTTTATAGAATAATTTTTATTATTGAATTAATTTATAGTTGAAGTTCACGCCTTGTAACGGTAAATTTGGTAGTCATGAGTGCGTTAGAAAAACATTTGGATTATTTTTTATTTCATAAATAATCTTCATGAATTTATTCTTATGTAAATAAAAAATAATCATTTAAATGCAAATATAAAAATAAATAAATATAACTGTCCAATATAAAGTATAAAATATTCAATAGTGATATATCCAGTTGATATATATAACGTTTTAATTCATATCTTTAAATTATATTGAGATGAATTTTAAAAAAAGCTGCTAATATGCTAATAAGAATAAAACTATTACGATCATTCGATAATTCAGTAATATGAAATCAGTAAGTTCGAATGGATAAACATTTACAGGTATTTTCTCTTTCTCTCTCTCTAGTTGCATTATTATATCTTTTACAAGAGAATTGTCTATGCAAACTTTCGGAGTCTTCAAAAAATTAATGAAATGTCATTATCACACATATGGTCTTCTGATGGATGGCAGTAAACAGACTGAAACATTAAAATTTAGAAAAGGGATCAATATTATGGTGATGCCAAGATGATTATTAGATTTTTTACAAAACACGCCTGATTCCTTATATAAGAATCTTTAATGTCTAATCATTGACGAAGCGGATCATATTCTAAATATTGGATACAATGAAGAGTTGAAATAAATCATTATTCCTAGTAAGTTCACTACGTATTAAAAGTAAATTGTTTTTTTTCTTTATTACATGAATTATTGTTGTAGAACGTCAGCACTATACTCTTCAGTGCGACACAGAAGGTATAGCGACGATACAACATTAGCGTTAAAAAAAACTATACATACATGGAGTCGAACGACATATGAAAATGACAATTGGAGGGCTTATAGCAAAATTATATATGTAGCGTGTCCGAGCAAGAAAAAATTTCTACTTTTGTTCACGTGTT